AGCCAACTTTGATCACCAGAAATTCAAATGCAATATCAATCGTTATCTATTGTCTTCCTGATTACTCTCTTATTGTTCTACCTTCTTAATAATGTTTCTATTTCTTTCATCCTTCCACGCACAGTAACCCCTTGTCTTTTAGGCCATGGTCGTTTCATCTGCATGGAAGATGATGGCCTAAACTTTTTGGGATGACAAAGGCATTGTGTTTATTGACTATCTTCAAGAGGGGCCACACCGTCAATGGAGAGTACTATGCCATCTTGGTGAGATATTTATGAAAGGTTATATAAAGACCAGACGCCCAGGAAATCTAATGGTAAATGGTCTTGTTTCATTCGGGCAAGGCTCCAGCAGAGATGTCCTTGGTTTCAGTGCCTGATGAGCGTGACTGTGACATTCAAACTGCTTTCTTTCGGATTTGGCCTCATCAGACGATCATCTGTTCCTCAATCTGGAATCAGTATCGCAGTGATGATGACGTCATATCTGCTGTTGATGACTTTTTTTCTTTTTTTTTTTTTGACCAACAGGATGAAAACATATTCACCGATGGGATTCAAACGCCGCAACGCCATTGGAAGAAATGTGTGGGCCGCAAAGGGGGGGGGGGGGCTGCGTTGAAAAATTACTCCTCATTTGGTCACATTTCATAAAAGGATCTTGGTCAGTTTGTGAACTTTTCAGTCGACGCTTGTATCTTTCTCTCTGACAGCATGGCCATCTCATCTGTATGCGTCGTCTGAAATAATAAAAAAAAAAATAGTTGTCTTTTGAAGCATCTGGTTGAGAATTAGCGGCAACTCCTGCGACCCAAAGCAGAGGCGAAGGTACAACAACAACAACAACAATAATAATAATAATAATATATTTATGATGATGACTTTTATTATACCTAACAAATTTAAATTTCCTCTTCGTTTTCGTTCAAATAATACAGAAAAGATCGAAATGACAAAAAGAAGAAGAAGAAGAAGAAGAAGAAGAAGAAGAATGAGGAAGAGGCGAAACACGTGCAGCAGAGAAGAAGAAGGAGGAAGAGGACAGAAAAAGAAGAAGAATGAGGGAGAGAAGAAGAAGAAGAAGAAGAAGAAGAAGAAGAAGAAGAAGAAGACGACGACGAATGGGGAAGAGGAGGAGCTGAAGAAGAGGAATAGTAGAAGTAGATGAATGAGGAAGAAGAGAAGGGGGAGCAGCATCAAAAGTAGAAGTATGGGGAAGAGGATGAAGAGGATCAGCGGAAGAAGAAGAAGAGGACGAATGAGGAAGAGAAGAAGGAGGAGCAGCAGCAGAAGAAGAATGAGGAAGAGGGGAATGAGGAGCAGCAGAGGAGAAGAATGAGGAAGAGGACAGAAAAAGAATGAGGAAGAGAAGAGGAAGATCAGAAGAAGAAGAAAAAGAAGAAGAGGAGGAAGAAGAGGAAGAGGAGGAGCTGAAGAAGAGGAATAGTAGAAGTAGCCGAATGAGGAAGAAAAGGAGGAGGAGCAGTAGCAAAAGATGAAGTATGGGGAAGAGGATGAGGTAGATCAGCGGAAGAAGAAGAAGAAGAAGAATGAGGAAGAGGCGAAACAGGAAGAAGAGGAGAAGCAGAAGTAGACGAATGAGAAAGAAGAGGAGGAGAAGCAGCAGAAAAAGAAGAAGTATGTCGAAGAGGATGAGGAGGATCAGCGGAAGAAGAAGAAGAAGAAGAAGAAGAAGAAGAAGAAGAAAAAGAAAAAGAAGAAATTAAAAAGTAACATTTATTATTTTTTGATTCGGTATTTTTCAAATACTAATATAAAAAAAAATTATTAGAATGAAGGGGAAACTGCAGAAAGGAATATCACTGTATGCTACTCAATCGAAGAAAGTTCACCTGAGGCGGGAAATCAGACCTTTTTTTTCTTTCTTTCCTTTTCTTTTTTTCTCCAATATTTGTTTGAATGCAAAAATTAGAATAATTTTTAGCTTGTCAAATGATCTCTATTCAACGTTCATTGAAATGTTGCAGAATTTCATCATGTTCCCCTTTTCTGAAACTATTTCTATCAAGAAATAAATTGATAAAAAAAAAATAGAAATGAACGGAAAAAGTCATGATAAAAGATAGACTAATAAATGAAAAGCGAAAAAAAAAAAAATGGCGTCATCAGATTCTTCGTAGGTATTCAAAGTAAGTCGATAATTTGAATGCATCTCCGGAAATAAAGAATGAGATGAAGCGACATTCGACCTGACAGGAATCGTTCATTTGTTTGATCTTCTTTCCTTGTCTCCACCATCAGCCAGGAACCTTTTTTTTTTTTCATTTTGTTATTTGTAACTCAGCGAAACGTGCATACGCTTGGATAAGACGCGCAATTAGCCATTTATATATACACACGGTGTATCAAAAATATTTTTGAAAACTTTGGGAGCGGGTTCCTCACACTAAAACAAGGACAAAAAAAAATATCCATACAAACATATGTCCGCAAATCCTTCGCTTTTGAGTTATTAAGATTAAAGTTTACGGTAGACGCTATTAAAAAGTACAATCCAAGATGCAATCCAAAAATACTCTTACAAACTTCCAGTCACCAAAACAAGCAACGTGACAATAAACAGCAGCAAAGGTTGGATGACTCGCCTGCTTTCAGTCTGGAAATGGAATCTGTTACAGCCGTGCAGCCTCACGTCCATTACCATTCGCGCGGCCGTACGTAAAAATCATATCTACCTGTTCACGATATGAATATCCTGCCCTTGTTAAATGGAACACGTCTCAGTAAACTAACTGTTGCACACGTTAAACGTTGAAAACAGAGTAGTCACTAATGTACATGAATGACAAATGTAACCTAGTCTATATGGCAACACAGCGCTATCTACCGTAAGCATTTATTTTTCATAATGATTCCGATCCATATATAATCACTGATATATATGTAGGGCGTGATGGGTAAATAGTTATCATTTTCTATTTTAAAATTTCGCGCATGCGCGTTGTTTGTTTTTAATTTTGTCGACAGCAGAGTATAGTAGGGTCATTTGGGCACTATCTCTGAGAAAAAGAGCACCATGATGCAATTTACTCCGTCAGAAATTTGGAAACGGCATGCTGTACTGCTTGGCATTCGCACCGAAAGCTCCAATACGAACATTTTAGAATGTTTGGATGTCAACCTGAGGACAGTGCAGAGGGTTCGAAAAAAAATTGGATGTGTCTAAGGGTGATTACGAAGGTGTTTGGCGTGATTACTAGTGATGGCGACGTTATGCGTCTATTTATCTCCGCACAGGACCTCAGACTCAACACAGGGCCTACATCAAGGCCCTTCGGTAGGTAGTGCTTCCCTAAGTAAATAGGATGGATGCTGGAATAACGTAATTCTGGCAGTAGGACTCTTAATGCCACACAAGCAGGAAAACCTAGTCATGGCTGTCAGACAATTTCTGAGGCCACATAACCCCTAACATCTGGTCCATAACTCCCCAGACTGCACCCCCCCACTTGATTATTATGTGCAGAGTGTAGTTGAGAGAGAAACAAACAAAACTCTTTGTAACACTAAGGATGGACTGAAAGCAAGGATTATAGCAGCATTTACGAACTTAAACAAGGAGATGACACAGGAGAGATACAGGTGATTCCGAAGTCGTCTTCCGGCCGTGGTTGAAAGCAATGGCGATTTTATTGAATAAAAATTAACCCTTTAGTTTTTCATGATAATTTTATGCAATTTTGGTAAATATATCTGTTACAAAATGTCAGTGTTATTTTCATTTTTTTTTTGGGGGGGTCAATTAGACGACAATTTATCCATCGCGCCCTGTATATCTGTTAAATGAGATGTCAGTGTTATTTTTTTTGGGGGGGTCAATTAGACGACAATTTATCCATCGCGCCCTGTATATCTGTTAAATGAGATGTCAAGTTATTTTCATTTTTCAAGAGACGACAATTTTCCATCGCACTCTGTATATCTGTTAAATGAGATGTCAATGGGGTCAATTAGACGACAATTTATCCATCGCGCCCTGTATATCTGTTAAATGAGATGTCAGTGTTATTTTCATTTTGGGGGTAAATTAGACGACAATTTATCCATCGCGCCCTGTATATCTGTTAAAATGAGATGTCAATGTTATTTTCATTTTTTTAGAATTAAACGACAATTATCCATCGCACTCTGTATATCTGTTAAATGAGATGTCAATGTTATTTTCATTTGGGGGGTCAATTAGAACGACAATTTATCCATCGCGCCCTGTATATCTGTTAAATGAGATGTCAGTGTTATTTTCATTTTTTAGACGACAATTTATCCATCGCGCCCTGTATATCTGTTAAATGAGATGTCAGTGTTATTTTCATTCCAGCGTTATTTAGACGACAATTTATCCATCGCGCCCTGTATAGCTGTATCTCTGTTAACATGCGATGTCAGTGTTATTTTAATTTTATTTTTTTGGTGGGGGGGGGGTCAATTAGACGACAATTTATCCATCGCACCCTGTATATCTGTTAAGATGAGACGTCAGTGTTATTTTCATTTCTGCGTCATTTAGACGACAATTTATCCACCGCGCCCTGTATATCTGTTTAGAATGTGATGTCAGTGTTATTTTCATCTTTGGGTCAGTTAGACGACAATTTATCCATCGCACACTGTGTATCTGTTAAAATGTGATGTCAGTGTTTTTTTTTTCATTTTTGCCTCAATTAGACGACAATTCATCCATCGCAACCTTTATATCCTTACATGTATCTATATATCTATCCGACGTTTAAGTCAGATGACATTTCAGTTAGTGGTCTAAATCATCTTAAAAGTCATCATAGCAACCATAAGCAAGCCAATTATGCCAACCTGACCCTTCGTTCTGCTAACAATACTTGTGATGCTTGTAGATCCTCATCTGGACTGAAAAGTGACATGGTGGTGCACGGGAAAGTTGTCAGGCATGCAGATTCAGTCAATCAAATCAGGTGTTTATTAAGCCGTTAAAAATAATGCGAAAGTTGAGGAGACCGTAAGATATCTATCTATCTATCTATCTATCTATCTATCTATCTATCTATCTATCTATCTATCTATCGCACTTCTATCATCTACTACAACAGCAAGGGTTAAAATCATGATTCATTGGGAATAAAAACACAAAGCTTATTTATAAAATATAGAAAAATTCTATGAAAAAAAAATGCGCCCAGAAGGTGACCGTCAATTATTTATAAACGCAAGACGTTTCAAATAAGAATATTCGACTTTGTTATCTGCTCTGAATCAGGAAATCCGAAATGACTGCATCCGAAGTTAAAAAAAAAAATATAATATGGCCGACCCCAAAAAACTGGCCGCCAAATGAAAAATGGCCGATCCCCGCCCCCCAAAAAAATGGCCGTCAAAAAATAAAAATGGCTAACCAAAAAAATGGCCGATAAAAGAAAAATGGCTGACAAAAAAAAAAAAAAAAGGGTGACCCAAAAAATGTCCGACAAAAGAAAAAGGTTTAAAAAAAAAAAAATGGTTGAAAAAAAAAAAAAAAAATGGCCGACTCCCAAAATGACCGGCTCTCTTTTTGTTTCCTTGCAATTCTTAGCTGTTTCATTTCTATATCTTTATGGCATTCTTCATTTTTACTGGTACCAGGTATAATGTTCAGTAACAATTTTTTCCTAAGAAAATTAGGAATCATATTCATGGTTGCCCCATAATTCTCTTGATTTAATTTCGTTCTTTTTTCTTAGTTTCTCTCTCTCTCTCTCTCTCCCTCTCTCCCCTCAACTTTTTCGTATTTTGCTCAAACGCGTCAGCCCACACGCAATTTATATGAGGGTTTTCTATTTTTATGGCGTTTTTTAACATTGTATTTTTCGGGAAGACACCTTTAGTCTCTTCCGGTTTGCAAGTTCGTTCTTTCCGATTTTCTCCGACTAAAATATTGTCAAAGTAAAAAGTCCGTATTTTTTTTCTTTTTAATATCAAATTTAGTATTACTTTCAACAGCCCCCATATTTATCTATCAAAAGTTCTTATCAATCTATGTATGCGTCTAGCTATTACATTTTATCTCGGTTTGTTTTATATGTATTTTAACCTACATCTCCTCCCTCCTTTTTTTCTCTCTCTCTCTCTATATATATATATATATATATATATATATATATATATATATAATTATTTATTTAAAAATATGATTCTAACTCGCGACATAAGAGGTCTCATGTTTCAAAACAAGAGCCGAAAACTTCAATATAATTATTTGAATTAAATTGAGTTGTAGTAAGCTCTGTCCCATCTTCAAGCGAAATTTCTTTTTGGAATAACTTATTTCTAAAATTTACGTGTTTTTTAATAGTATATTCATTTTTTTGAATATACTATTAACACACACATTTAAATTTCTTCTTGAAGATGGAACAGAGCTTACTTTTAATTCAATTTAATTCAAATAATTATATTGAAGTTTAGAAAACCATTTAAGGAAACATTTTTATGTCACAGTTGGAAACATATTTTTAAATAAATTATTATATTTATGCTCTACTTTTGTATCGAGCACTATTTTTAAAAAATAATAACTAAAATATTAAGGAACTTTGGATTATTTACCTAACCAGTTCTTTCCTATTTTCTATATATTTTCCCATATATATATATATATATATATATATATATATATATATATATATATATATATATTAAAAAGGTTAGTCATACCTTGAATCAATTAGCAATATTAATGCAATTATTGTCGAAAATCCTTTCGCTAGTAGACATAATTATAAGCATTATACTACTAATAATCCACTGAATGATGAGATCCTTATGTATAAAATGGATATAAATTTTTTTTTTAATTCAGCTAGTACTTTCAAATGTTTCACGCATTCATCTTCAGGCCCAAAACACTACATAACCGTTAATAAATAGCTCATTCTTAAAAAACATCTTTCAGTCGGAAAAACACATATATATATATATATATATATATATATATATATATATATATATATATATATATATAAAATGAAATGTACGAAGTTTGAAAATTATTTTAAAATAATAAATGCTCTGTATATAATAAACAGTATTAACCACAGTTAAAAGATTAAATGTCCGAGAAATTTCATAGAAAATATATGTCCTCCGACAGGAATCGAACCTGTACACTACAAAGAACCGTAATATAGCCTGACGTGCTATAGTATTTAGTTACAAAGAAGTGTCTTGTTAGCAAAGCCAAATTACTTTTTTTAAACTACAAATTTTCCATGATTTCTCTCGAACGCTCATATCTGCTCGAAGCGTATCTAAACGTAAACAAATGACATCATATATTATGAAATGGACATAATTATCTTAATATATTTATTGTTTGTACGTTATTTTTATAGATACAAATATTTAGATAAATGTTCTGTTTATTATAAAGTCTGTTAATCACTCTCAGTATGTTCATCGTTCTATCTTTTTTTAATTAAAGACTATTTTTTATCCAACTACATGTACCGGTCTGAATATTCGAGACATC